CAAAACAAATAAACAATCTTATTGATATTAATCCTTAGAACTGTGGCTACAACAAGTAAAAAATAGATCTAATATTTATATATATGTAAATCATTAGCCCAAGTGACCACTTTGAAAATGGTTTTATAATTATGAAATTTTCTCCCCACGTTACTCCATAATGTTAACATGATTTATTTTAAAAATCACCTAAGTGTATAGGTTTTTCTCAGATATGTTTATTATGTTTCAAATACAGTGTTTAAATACTCTTTAGGTAAAACAATTATCAAAATAGAATCTATTGCCAATGCTTAAACTTACTTTTTCTATATGATGTAAAACAAAAATCCCAACAACACCTGCAAAACTTTCCTAAGTGTTCATGTAGAGTATACTTGAGTTAGGAGATAAATAAAATAACCGAACACTTTATGGATAATTTAACAGGTAATCTTTGTATGTAATCAAATATCAAAACATTTTTTGGATAATTAGACAGGTAACTGTTTATGTAAACAAATATCAAAACATTTCCTGGATAATTAGACAGTTAACCATTTATGTAAACAAATATCAAAACATTTTCTGGATAATTAGACAGGTAATCATTTATGTAAACAAATATTAAAACATTTTTTGGATAATTAGACAGGTAACCATTTATGTAAACAAATATCAAAACATTTCCTGGATAATTAGACAGGTAATCGTTTATGTAAACAAATATCAAAACATTTCTTAGATAATTAGACAGGTCATCATTTATGTAAACAAATATTAAAACATTTTTTGGATAATTAGACAGGTAACCATTTATGTAAACAAATATCAATAAATTTTTGGATAATCAGACATGTAACCTATTATGTAAACAAATATCAAAACATTTCCTGGATAATTAGACAGTTAACCTAGTATGTAAACAAATATCAAAACATTTCCTGGATAATTAGACTGTTAACCTATTATGTAAACAAATATCAAAACGTTTCCTAATTAGACAGTTAACCTGTTATGTAAAGAAATATCAAAACATTTCTGGATAATTAGACAGTTAACCTATTATGTAAACAAATATCAATACATTTCTTGGATAATTAGACAGGTAAACAAATATCAAAACATTTCCTGGATAATTAGACTGTTAACCTATTATATAAACAAATATCAAAACATTTCCTGGATAATTAAACAGGTAATTATTTATGTAAACAAATATCAAAACATTTCCTGGAAAATTAGACAGTTAACCTATTATGTAAACAAATATCAATACATTTCTTGGATAATTAGACAGGTAACCATTTATGTAAACAAATATCAATACATTTCTTGGATAATTAGACTGTTAACCTATTATGTAAACAAATATTAAAACACATCCTGGATAATTAGACTGTTAACCTATTATGTAAACAAATATCAAAACATTTCCTGGATAATTAGACTGTTAACCTATTATGTAAACAAATATCAAAACATTTCTTGAATAATTAGACAGGTAACCATTTATGTAAACAAATATCAAAACATATCCTGGATAATTAGACAGGTAACCTATTTTGTAAACAAATATCAAAACATATCCTGGATAATTAGACAGGTAACCTATTTTGTAAACAAATATCAAAACATTTCCTGGATAATTAGATAGGTAACCTATTATGTCAAATCTGAAATAATTGATACACTAGTGGGATACATTTCAAAATATTTGAATCCAAAGTAATTTTCTAAAATTAAAAATTTCGCCCTTCATCAACGATCTTTGGTTTCTGTAATATTAAACGATCTTTGGTTTCTGGAATATTAAATTCAAGATATTAATATTATTATTATTGCAGATGGTTCCTGTATGGTGAACGGTGTTCGATTTAAAAATTTCCAACCCATTCCTGATGACAAGAAGGATTGCGGTAGACGTTGCGTTTGCGTTAATGGGAACGTCACTTGTGAAGACAGGTGTCCCCCATTAGGGAATATTCCTCCTCCAAATTTACCTTGTCCCCCGACTTTAGCATATAAGGGACAATACCCTGGTGATAAGTGTTGTATGCACTGGATGTGCAAAGAACAAGAGCGACAAGGTAGGGATAAGATAATGTGAACAAGCTTAATATATTACTGAAGGGTACATAACACTTAAGAATATTATATGATAAAGTTACATAAATATGCGGGGGATCAAAGGGGATCGATGAATTTTAAAGTCCCACTCTGCGCGATTTTTCGATCTTTCAAGGTTTTGGGTTTGTCGCTAAGAAAAATATTTTTTCAGGAAATAGGACGATTTGGGTTAAGTTATTGCAATTAAGTTAGAAAATCAAATATATCTGAAAAACCCGCCGTCTGTTTTGTTTTTTAACTCCCTTAATGTGATACTAAACGAATTAAACTTACCTCATAACAATAACTATACGTGTTATCAGAAACGAGATATTTCATGCAAGGGTTTCGGGCTATGATCTGTGTTGTCCATGGTTCATGTCCCGTTACTGCCCGAAAATAACAACAAACATTGCGCTCCGCACTTTGGGGCTATCGATGCGTTATAAGAGAGACTGTGAAATCCCACTATTCGTTCACACAAAAATAAAATATAAAGAGTTGGTAGTGGGTGCAGATGACTGGTTAATTTTCCTTTTGGTCTATCGGCTTTGTGCAGATAACCAAAAACAAATACATTTCATTGTAAGAACATTAACAAAAGAAAAAAGTACCGAAAAATGTACTAATCACTTACAGTGACGATTATTTTTAATTAGGATTTATTAAAAACGTGTTATCGAATGCTTTGAGTATTAATTTAAGTGAACAGTGTTGAACAACATGTGCGACTTAAGGCGGTCAACAAATAAGAAAGAGCTTATTTAATAGCTTATTTGTTTTAATTTTTTAGTCATTAAATGTTTAGGACTAAAATGCTTGATCAAATAGAAGAGCTTACAGTAGCGTAAGTTATGGGAGTTTAGCAACTAAAAATCTTATTTCTACGTGTTCACTTGCGATTTGGTTAAAACAAATTGAAGTTAAGTAGATGAAATAAGGAGTTTTAAAACACGTGCATTGTTCTATGATTTATTGCATTCTAAAATGCAACGCCCAGTCAACAAACAAAATCAAAGTATGTTATCTAAAGCAGTATCATCGTTATCCAGTCGACGCTTTCAATAACCGTTTATCTTTTTATTAAATTACAGTGGAGTTTCTAGTTTTCTTAGTGTTGTAGCATCAAAAATATGTTCATGAGTTGTTTTAACGTGAAGCCAGTAAAGAAGCAGCTCCTTTTCTCTAACATTCGTTACGTTATCTATAACAATAGCCTCCCCCCCCCCCATCCACCCCCGTGGCTCAGCGATGAGTCTGAGGGCTTGTAACCTTAAAATAGAGTTTCGGTGGACACAGCACAGATGGCCCATTGTGTAGCATTTCTGCTTAACAAGACGAACAGTTACTGAAGTGAGGCGTATTTTTAACCTCATCTTCGGTTTTTATTTTCAAATTTAAAGTTTCTCGCGCGTTCCAAAATTAATCTTATTGATAGTATTGAGATTTGTCTCGCGGTCACGTGTTTCAAGCTGTTTTACGTAAAGTACAAGATTCATGATGACAACAACGCTGTGATGATTTAACATAACAATGATTAAAAGAAAGCATGAAGAAATCATTGGTACTAAAGTTTGAAATTAATATATAATTGCAAAAATATAATTTTCGGAGGTCCCTGGTGGTGGGCAGTTAGTCATCTGGTGGCTAAGAATATAATCAAGAGCTAAAAATATGGAACTAAACTCTTCACGACTTTCCGTCGGTGGAAATAACATTGATTTATGTTTATTATAATTACATTTATATATATTTATTTATTTAATAAAGCAGTCGGGCCGTACTGTTTCGTGTTTAATAAAACTTTGAACTAAATGAAACCTAAACTTGAACTTTATTTTATGATCTCTTTCTAAAACGTTGTAAAGAAGGGTTATGTTGTTAGGCAGTCATCATCATATTATTAAAAATTGTATGCACACCAATGAGGTGGTGTCGGCACACAGGTTCAGCAGCAATCAAATTATTATGAAAATTACTGGTTACTTACTGGCAATTCCTTGCACTCAAGAGTGATGGTCTTCCATGATGATCTTATTTGTGGGTTCGAAGATAGCTGATGAGGCTGATCCAGAAATGATAGACTCTGTTGTAGCTTAGCATGTGTTTCCGAGTATAATAGGTGGTTCTGGATTGTTGAGATGCTGTTTTAATGGTGTATGTTTGTTTGGATGTCCTTAACAAAACTTTTCCGTCTCTGGTCACCGTGAAACGAACAAAACCTACAAATGTGCGATAGTCTGTCTTATTTCATCTTTTTTTTTCTTCTTTTCTAAAAGATACTGAGACATTAAAAGTTTGATATATTATTCCTCACACGAAATGGTCGCATGACGTTACTAGTTAAGGGTATTTCTGACTTAATTGTTAGTAGTTACGATGCTCGGCCTACGATGGCCAATGTGCTAGGTCCCCTAGTGGTGAGAAAATGCATTAATACATTAGGCTTAAGAAGTACAACTTTAATGAGATTTAAAAACATGCGTTTTTGTGGCTTCAATATATTCGAATAGATAGGATTGGACTTTTATAGTTTTAACCACTACTATCTAAAGTTGAATTACATTTTAAATAAACACAATATTTTGTCTAAATATAAATCTATTTTAAATGTCACACGCGTTTGTAAAAAAACTGTTGTTCAAGATATGACTTGTTTAAACTTTCTATCATATTTTGGGTTTATTTGGGTTTTAATAAAGTTATGATGCGCTTGAGTTTATCTTTGAGTTTATTATTATTATTCTTTAAATGAATTTGTAATGTTCAATTAAAGAGTAAAAGCTGCGTAATATAACAAATCATTAATTATTCCGAAGCTGTTCTAAGCTTGATATCGTATAGGATCAATATGACCAGAAACATAATAGGAGGGTTAAAGACACGACCATTAGCCAAACGAATAGAAGCAGTCATTTTCTCAAATTGATTTTTTTTCTTCTGAAGATGAAAGTCACTTTCCTTGATTTCTTTTTGTAAAGAGCTTAAAAATGGCGGCCCTAAAAGTTGTCTTAACTCGGAAATGTGAGCTTGAGTCGTCGAAGTGGTTTGGTCGAACCTGTGTGCTAAATGTCTTAAAAGGAGTTTTTACAAGAAAAAAAAACGACTTTGTATGGCGAATGGATCTAATAATGAGCTAAATGAAAACAGCATGGCCCTTCTGCTGCTCCGTACTAAAACGAATCTAAACTGAAATTTAAAACGTTTCTTACTTGGCCCAGCTTTCTGTTATCACCGCGATAGACGGTACAGACTCGGGGAGAACTGGGAAGTGTTGAAAGGCTCAGTGAGGAGGCAGTGCTTGTGTCGCGAAGATAACAAAGGGAACTCCAAAGTGGAATGTGTGGGAGGCTGCCAACCAATTCCAGAGAAGTTCAAGCAGCCCAACCCACAGTGCCCCCGTCCAGTGCTGGTTACACCCGATGACCCTCTAATATGTCCTTATATTGTCTGTAACAACACGGACTCAGGTAAACTGAAAAGTAGTGTTTCTCAGTGTAACCTATTATATCACGTGCATTGTGTTTAGTAAGGGATAAACGCAGACTGACCGACTAAGAAACCCAAGTCGGTGTTAGTTAAGGATGTAATTTATTCATTAGGAAAGCTAGGACTATTGCTTCTCATCAAAAGCAAGACTCGAATTCCAGGCCATATCAGGATAAGGTATCGTTATCCTCCAGACTTGTGTCATCAACATTAATGCTTTACAGTATAAATGTACAGGGCCTTACTAATTGGTCAGATACCTGACCACACTTGTACAGGTACTTAGTAGTTGGTCAGGGATCAGATAACGTTTCCAAGGTACTTACTAGTTGAACAGGTATCAAATAACGTATGTACAAGTATTTACTAGCTGATCAGATAACGTTTGTATAGGCACTTATTACGTCAGGTATCTGACAACACTTGTAGAAGGCCTTACCAGTTGATCAGGTACCTGGTCACACTTGTACAGGGCCTTACTATTTTGTCTGTTATCTGTTAATACTACTACAGGGCTTGGTGCTTGGTCAGGTATCAGATAACACTTGTACAGGGCCTTACTATTTTGTCTGTTATCTGTTAATACTACTATAGGACTTGGTGCTTGGTCAGGTACCAGATAACACTTGTGTAGAGCCTCACTATTTGGTTAGGTGTCTGGTAATACTACATAACTTAGTACCTGGTTAGGTATCAGTTAACCCTTGTAGAGGGACTTTTTACTTAGTCAGGTATCGATAACGCTTGTACAAGGACTTGCTAGTTGATTAAGTATCTGATAATACTTATATACGGATTTACCACGTGGTCAAATATCCCATAATGATTGTACAGGTATTTAACTCTTTGGTTGGACATCAGGTATTGCTTTTACAGAGCCTTACTACTTAGTTAAGTATATGAAAACGCTGGTATATGGATTAGTAGTCGGTCAGGTATCTGGTAACATTTGTATAATATTTGAGATTATAAAACCGAAGGCGATATGCCCCCAAATCATCATGTTTTTGTGTAAAATATTCTTTTTCATGGTAGTTCCTTTTATGAATTGTTTTACAAAATTAAATTTGATTTTTTATCACAATTTCAGAAGAGTATTACTAATAACCAGTTTGTAAAATTAAGAGTAAATAAAGGTGTTATTTTGGTGTTGGATAAAGTGTTTAATAACATGATCTGTGTTCTGTTAGGAAAAGAACTTCAAAACGTGAATGTCATGGCGGTGAATGCTACAACAGCTAGAATAAGATTCACCCTTCCTTCTCTCCTTGTGGGGCTCGTTGGCCACGCTGAGCTACACTTCACAACCGACCCATCCACCCCAGAATCGGAGTGGAAAGTACAGAAGTTTGCTCGTCCTAACCGTTTGTTTGATACTTCGAACATCGAATACTACATGAGTGGCTTACATCCAGAAACTACGTATTTCTTCCAAATCCACATCAAGATCGATGCTCTCCAGAACGGACCGAAAAGTGAAATTTTCAAGCTCGTTCTTCCATCACGTAAGTTGCTGGGAACAATATACGTAAGTTTATCAAGAACGTTTCGTTCTAGTGGCTAGTTCAGAGTTTTCGAGAGAAGATGACATTGCCCCAAACCGGTCGAACTCGGAGAAGAGTGCTAGAAAAATTAAGATAAACAGAGCCTTTTTGAAATTGTTCTTTTCATTGTAGATCAGCAAATTTACCAAAAGATTGCCGTGTTAATAGATCACGTGTTATCTATTGTTGCTGCGCGTCTTCTGCTTGATCTAACACGAAGAAAAGTATTACTATACGTACACAAGTTTTGGCGCTGACTGATTCTGATTTCTATATCTAACGTAGGTTCATAAAACCAGAATAATAGATATTATATTCTATTATGTATTCTATAGAGCATTTTATTGTTGTTACTTGTAAACATGAGCAGTGTTTTTTTTGTGTGTGTGTTTTGAAAAAATAATTAATTTTAACTTTAACTGCATAACCACGAGATTATGTACACACATGCACACGATAACTAAGCCTTGTGCCAAAGTACTAGCAGTTATTTCTGTTATCTGTGGCTATTACATCAAGGTCACTTTAACTGACACCTACTGTGATAATGTTATAATTTAATTGCGTTATGGTATATGCTACCTTACAAATCGTAATATGCTTACTTTGATACTGATCTGATTAGTGACAACAACGACCTCCACCACAACAAGCACGACCTTACCTCCGATGATCATGTTGGATGCAAGACTAACATCAGAGAGTATCGACTCCAACACCGTGCGCGTAATCTGGAGGGACTTCGAACCTCAAGAGAAGCGTTTTATAGATGGAATTCGACTTAAGTATAAATTGGTCAATGAAGGTGAAGACCGTTGGAAAACAACTCCCATCATTCATCGGGATGTAACGTCATACATCATCAGAAACCTAATGCCGGGGGTCGCCTATATTGTAGACATCGAATTTATGACTCCAGGGGACATCCTTACGCATCTCGTCTCAACCAAACCGGTGGAGATAAAAACGATACCAAAACCTAAAGGCGAGTATTATCGCAAAATAGAATTACGGAATAATGAAAACAAGTCAGGTGCTTTAACATTATGATATCCATGTTTTAAAAATTAATACATGAACTAATGCACTCAAGATTTTCGTGAATTAAGAAATGGTGCTGTACACCAAAGCGTCTATAAAGTTTGAATATTTTAAGTGTCAACTAAGCCTAATAAAAAAACTATTTCCGTGCTCGATAACAAACGCTCTTGAAACACACTTCCTAAATATATTATTTGTATTGGACTAATCAATCCATACTTACTTGGGTTGATACTAATGTGAAATGTGAGACCTGACTTATTCTTACTCGGTCTATATTGGATTAATCAATTCATTCTTACCTGGGTTGACGTGTGAGACCTGTCTCTTACTTACTAGGTCTATATTGGATTAATCAATTCATCCTTACCTGGATTGATAATAATTTGACGTGTGAGACCTGGCTCTTATTTACTAGGTCTGTATTGGATTAATCAATTCATCCTTACCTGGGTTGACGTGTGAGACCTGTCCCTTACTTACTAGGTCTGTATTGGATTAATCAATTCATCCTTACCTGGGTTGACGTGTGAGACCTGTCTCTTACTTACTAGGTCTGTATTGGATTAATCTATTCATCCTTAACTGGATTGATAGTAATTTGACGTGTGAGACCTGTCTCTTACTTACTA